GAAAAAAATTTCTACAAAAACAATAAACATACCAAGTTAGATATACCAAAAACTACAAATTATACACTATAAACATACAAGATATTAAACAGTGAAAACAAAGCCAAATATGTTTCAAACTAGCACGATATTCACCCAAGTCATTATTCCATCATAGTTCACAAAATACATCAGATAACATTTAAAAGGACAACATATAGGCTTAGTGCAGGTTCAAGGACAACATTAAGAGTAGTAGTTTATTCTTGAAACTTAAATTCGCAACACTGTGAAGTTAGTATTTGTCTTTGTTTTTTGGTTGAAGTAATGCAATTCATTCAAGTTTCAATTTGTAGAATAAGATTAGTTTCTGAAAATTAAATTCGCAACGCGAAACTAAAATCGCGTTGCGGTTTTCATTTTTGTGTTGTGAATTTAAGTTTAAAAAACTATTCTTCTGCAAATTGAAACTTGAATGAATTGCATTTCTTCAACAAAAAGACAAAACAAAGACAGATACTAACTTCACAGTGTTAAAGACTAAACAGTTTAGCAGTATTGACAGCAACCGAATAAATTTATTAAGCAATCTCAGTGAAATGGTTAATCTATATATATTGAAATTACCAGTAAATTTATCATCAATATAAGAAAAATCTAATAATAATACAAAAAATTCAAAATAAAAATAAAAGATTAAAAAACTAACCCTCGGTGGTTGATTTTCCATTTCTGACTGTGAATGGTTGTGAGGGTTGCTCTGAGAGATGGAGATAGACGGATTTTGTCGGAGATGGGGACGGATTTCGTCGGAGATGGGAACTGATGTCGTCGTAGAGAGTGAGAGATAGAGATGAGTCTGAGTTGTGATTTAGGGTTTTAGGTTATGATTTGTGATAATATTGTTTACATTTGTGTTGCGAAATTAATATTGTGTTTCGAATTCGAAAATAAAATCCGCGTTGCAAAAATAAACGCGCTTTGCGAATTTAACTTATGTGTTGCGAATTTGACTTTTGTGTTGCAATTTACAAATTCGCGTTGCGAATTTGGAAATTGAGTTGCGAAATCGGAGTTCGCGTTACGAATTTGTTGGTCATTTTCGCAAATCCAAAAAAAGTTGGTTAAAATCGTATATTATAAGGCATTTTCGGTCACTGGTGTTATTTTCTCTTATATTATTGTAGAAAAGCTGTTGTTAAGAGTGTTTTTCCCTTAATAAAAAAATAAAAGAAATTAATAAGGAAGGGAAACATAAGTCCAACGTAGTGAGGAATTCAACACCTGGTTAACATTCATTTGGTTAAGGAGGTGATCTCCTACTCCATATCTTATTATAGTTGTAAGTCTTTCATACTAAGTGGACTTCATGTGGCGGTGATCTTAGGATTTAGATGAAATAAAGGTTAGATTTAGATTTAAAGAATTGTTTTAGTATTTTTAAATTTAAATGATTACCAACGATAATAGTTACTATGATGATATATTACGACGAGCGATGATTAAAATTTGAATTTTAAGGCAAATTCGTATAGATGGAGAAATAACAATAACAACAAAACCCTATTCCAATATATAATGGGGTAAGGGGGAGGTAGGATAGTAGGCTTCCCCCAACGTCAGGTTGAGAGCAGCTTCCGTGGAAGACCTCCGGCAGTCAGAAAAATAAAAATAAATATAAAATACAATGCATGTATAAATAAATAAATAAATACATAGTTGAACAGTCTTCTTATGCAGTCTTCATATGCGCGTCTGTAATGTGAATTAAACCCTGCAAATAAATCTCTGCATATAGACAGAAACGTAAGACCTGAATAAATTTAAAAAGAGGAAACATGAAGAGAATGATACACAGAAGTCAGCGATAGCAAGCTACGAGAAGGAATAAATTCAAATGGGTTAAAACCTAAACTAAGGCAACACTACTCCGCTACCCTAGTTCTAAGCCTTCATAAATTCCAATGACAGAAACGTAAAAAAAATATGAGTCATGGAAATTACTACAAATGCATAAAAAAGAAGACAGAGATGCTACACCCTATGGCTGTGACCCACACTATTCACCTACCCTGGTCTTAAGTCTCCATACTTTCCTATTAGAGGTCATGTCCTCGGTAAGGGATAAATCCTTCAAATCAGATCTCAAGCACCCACATATTCCTTGGTTGTCCTCTCCTTTTGGCACCGTCGACTCTAATCGACTGTACCCTCATGACTGCATCCGACGGTTGTCGCCTAAGGACAGGCCCAAACTACCGTAGTCTTCCCTCCCTCAATTTTTCGAATACAGGCACCACCCCCAAGGACATCCTAATTGCAGAGTTTGGTGTCATGTCCCACAAAATCCTACCACATGACCATCGAAGCATTCTCATTTCTGCGGCCTCTATCCTCCTTACGTGATCATTCTTGATTGCCCAACATTCTGATCCATACAGAAGTGCTGGTCTTATTGCCATTCTATAAAATTTTCCCTTAAGTTTTATAGGCACCTTCTTGTCACACAAAACTCCAGTAGCAGCCCTCCACTTTATCCACCCGCCTTTATACGGTGTGTAACATCATCATCTACACCCCCATATTTATGTATCATAGACCCTAGGTACTTGAAACAGTCCTTTGAGGGGAAATCATGTCCTTCTATGCATACTTCTACATCTCCATCGTTTTGGTTCCCACTGAAGTTTGAACATAAATACTCTGCTTTTCAATATTGATCCTTAGACCTTTTTCTTCTAAAGCAGTCTTCCAGGTAGTCAGTCTACTATTTAGCACAATTTTTGTTTCAGCAACTAGGACAATGTCGTTAGCGAAAAGCATACACCATGGAACACCGTCTGGTGTCACACAATAGATGACCCCTGGTGGAGTCCGATTTTCACCGGGAAAGCCTCGGTGTCGCTAACTATAGTCCTGATGTATGTAGTAGATCTACAGTACATATCACGAATCACCCGGATATAAGCAGTTAGGATCTGTCTCATTTTCAATGTCTTCCAAATTGTATCGCGGGGAACGCTATCATACGCCTTCTCAAGGTCAATGAACGTCATGTGAAGATCTCTATTTTTCCCTATATTTCTCCATAAGCCGTCGAAGAAGATGAATCACCTCCGTAGTAGACCTGTCTGGCATAAAGCCAAATTGGTTTTCCGAAACCCTAGTAACCTGTCTCAACATAGCCTCTATCACCCTTTCCCATAGCTTCATGGTATGACTGAGTAGTTTAATATCTTTGTAGTTACCACAACGTTGGAGAACTCCTTTATTCTTATAGATTAATATCACCGTAGATTCTCTCCACTCGTATGGCATCTTGACAATCTCTAAAATAATATTATAGATAGAGAAAAATAATAATATTTAAATTTAAAGGATAAAAATGGAAAAAATAAATTTTAATGGTCAGAACAAGTGTGATAAGAAAGTTAAGTGATAATTTCTATAATTTACGCAATTCAAAAAACGTGACTTCTCCTTCGAGTTGTGACCATTTTTTTGAAAATCGGACCGGACCGGTCGGTTCAACCGGGAACCATTACCTAGTCCGGTTCAATCTAAACCGGTTGAACCGCTACTAGTGAACCGGCCAGAACAGCTGAACCGTTCGAACCGGACCGGTTGAAAATCGGAAAAAACACAAAATTAAACCAAACGTCGTTTGTTAAACGAGCCAAGTTGAACTCGAGTATTGCTTAGCTCAACTCGAACTTGAAAACTTTAAAAGTAAGCTCAACTCCACTCAAACTCACAAGTTAAAAATTATCAAGTTCAACTCGAACTCGAAATATAATATTGAAACTTGAACTCAAAAAGGCTTAAACTAAAAAAAATTAGAAGCTCAATTGAAGCCTAAAATTCAAGTTTGATTGAAGTGAAAGAATAGTTCACTCAATGCTCACCAAAAGACTCCATGATTTTGAATGTCAAATTACCTCTATTATTTATAGAAGTTTGTTGTGATGCACTTCTATGTTTCTTAGCAATATAGGATTGTTTTGCTCTCATATTTTTACTCTTTAGACTTTTGGGATGCTCTTCTATGTTTTTTAGCCATGTGAGATTATTTTTAAAAAAAAATTAAACCAAAAAATATCATTTTGTTATGCTTTTTTTATCCTCAAATTTATTTTTTAATTATAGTTATATAATTATATTTATTATTTAATATGTTTTAACTTAAATATTATGTTGTAGTTAATTTGAATCATTTTGTTTCACTTGATTTTATGGTTTTTAATTTATATATGTTATGACTTGCTTTGAATGTGACTTATGATATAAAAAATTATTTTTTATTAAATATTTTTAGTATTTTTATTTAATTTTTTAAATAATTATGACGTCGTTCGGTTCTTTCGAACGGTTAGATTAATTTGACCGGTTGAATTAGTGAACCGATAGCATAACCGATTCGCCAGTCCGATTCTGAAAACCATAGTTGTGACTCGCTGTTTCAGCTTAGTCGTTCCGCTAAAAACAAAAGCATTGCCTTTTACTCTTTCCACTCCTTTGACGAACTTCTCAAGACCTTTTCAATCCCTTATATCATGGCCCTTTTGGCTTTTACCTTATGTACAACAACAACAATATTTGTTAAAAAATATCACCCGTGCAAAAAAAAAAAATAACTTAAAAAATAATATTTTATCTTAAATTAAATTAATTTTAAATTCGAGTCCATATATAAATATAATTCATCCAAAATTAAATCTGGTGAGGCTTTTCCGTTCGGACCCTTCACCACAAACCAAACCCAAAAAACAATTCCAAATTTAAATTTAAGAATAAAATTAAAATTGGAAGATTAAACATGCTTAATTCCATCACTAACAAAAATGACGGTCCAAAATGCAATAATAAGATAATTATTAGCCGATCATTAAAGATTCACTATTTTATTTTTATTTTTGTTTTATCTTTTATCCTATCTCCTTGGTATTTGAGTACAATTTTTAGTACTTAACGACCTTTGTATTTATAAACTCTTCCCTCTCCCATTTTTACTCTTAATTTCCACGCACCTCTACAGTTTCCTGGTATGTTCTCACTCTACAATTTCCACTTTCAATTTCCCTTTTCTTTTAAACCTGTTTTTCTATCAATATATTTGAACTTTCTGATTTGTTTGCCATTGAAACAGTTTAAAATGGACAGGGAAAAGTATGAAGACAAAAGAAGAATTGGGTCAATTAAAGCTGCTGTTAATATGTATGGAGATATGATTTTGGATGGAAATTCTTCATTGAAGAAACCCCCGGTGGATTTTCCAGAGGTATAATTTTTACCACCGCTGTGAAAAGTGAAAACCCTTTTTGTTTATATGCAATTGTTGGAACTTTTTTAGTTTTCAAATCGATTGACAAAGTTGCAATCTGTGGGGTAACTCTTGTTTTAGAAGCCTTGTTCAAGGGTAAAAGAGCTTCACAGGGCAAGAAGGGGCATGAATATATACAGAGAGAGTAGAAGAACTGCAGAATCAGCTAAGGCTATGGCAGAATCCGAGCTCTTCGGTTCAAGGGAAACGGTTAACGATCCGGCTTTGGTGGTCGAGGAATCAAATTTTAAGGCTAAGAAAAATGCATCGGTTGCCAAGAAGAGTATCGAAAGTTATCAGTATGAAGAAGTGATGAGAGAATTGGAATTGGTGAAACAAGAACTGAGTCAACTAAAGCTTCATATGGCATCTGTTATGGAGGAGAAGGCAAGAGCAGAAAAGGAATTTGAAGACTCTGGCTTTAGAATGAAGTCTAACGGTGCCTCTGTTGAAGCGCTTAAGGAGCAAATTGAGGCAGCCAAAAAGGAACATGTGCTAGTTGAATTGGCTCAGATTGAGGCTCAGAAAGAAGTTGGAGAAATCGAAGCTCAAAGAGCGAAAGAAGCCGTTGACTTCTCGTTTTGGAACAGGGAAACAAAGAAGAAAGTTAAGGACATAACTGAAGAGATTGATCAGTCCAAAGAGTTGGAAACAAAATTTGGTGCCACTTTGTCTGATATTAGTCTCTTACAAGATGTGCTGATGCAAGTTAAGGGACTAGACGGTGTGGTTCCGAAAGGTGATGATGAGGACTTGAAGCAAAAAGATGATAGTTTTCATAGTGTTGAAAAAGTGGAACCTTCAGTTTCCTTGGAGTCGATCATGAAAGAACTGGAGGCAGCTAAGAAAGAATTGGATTCCATCAAAGATGAAGGTTTTCAGTATATGTCCTCCATGGATATCATAAGAAATGAGCTGAAACATGTTACAGAAGAAACAGCAAAGTTGAAGAAAACAGAAGAAAAGGCGGATACGAAAGTTAAAAGCCTCAATTCGAAGCTGGTGAGAGCCAAATCCAAGTTGGAAGCAGTGACCGCAGCCGAAGAAAAGGCTAAATCGATAGAGATGAACTTTTTCCTCAACCTTGAACAGTCAAGGGCAGAAGTGGAGGCATCAAAGAAAGAGAAGATGCTTATCACTGAAGACATTGCAACTATCAAGGCAGAAATCCAGAAAACTGAGTTCGAAATAGATGTAACCGAGGAAAGATTGCAGGCAGCTATGCAAGAACTTGAGGTGGTTAAGGCATCAGAAGCTTTAGCTCTAGAAAAGTTAAGATCTCTCATAGAGACTACAATGCAATCTAGAGCTTCAGCATCTAACCATAGTTCCTCAATCACTGTCTCAAGGTTTGAGTATGAGTATTTAACTGGACATGCAGTTGGAGCTGAAGAGATCGCAGATAAAAAGGTTGCCACAGCTCAGGCATGGATCGAAGCTTTCAAGGCCAGTGAGAGGGAGATATTGATGAAAACTGAAATGGCTCATAGGGAGCTTAGAGAATTGAGAGTAGAGGAGGAGAATGATGTATCACTTTCAGAAAAGAAAAATTTGGATTCACCAAACGTGCAATTACCTTTGGTTAGAGTTAGATCCGCTAAAAGCAATGGCAATTCAACCCCATCACGAAGAGCAAAGCTCCGTAAATCCGCGTCGCCTGCAATACCGGAGAGTTAATCAAATTCATTCATCGTTAAGAAGAAAAGAAAGTCTGATGCCAAATTTAACCAATTTCTTTGATGGCAAGAAAGTTGACAAAGATGAGTAAGCTGCTGGTGAATGTTTTTTGTTTTCTTTTACAAGCATTTGACTGCAACACAGTTGGAGTGATGTTTTCCCAAAAATTACTTGCTTCTTTTTAACTAAAACTTGAATATGATACGAGTGTGTAAAGCGTAATAAGAAATGCAATTGTGGGTGAGTTTTCAACTTGGCATGGCTCATTCTAGTTCCTGCTTATATCAGATGTTTGCCCATTTGAGCCTTTTCATGACATTTGCGAACAAATAGTTGTTACTAATATTATTTATCATAAGCTCCTTCAAGCTGCGCCATTATTTGCTGCGATCGGCTTCTCGGGCATTCTTTCCCTCACATTGCTTGCCTGCCATTTTTCCATAAACTTTGTCGATCATCTATTGTTTAGGATTTAAATTGTAATAACAGATGAAAATTTACCAGTTTCTGCCAATTCGTAGAGGCAGTGACGAGAGCAAGCACCAATGCCTAAACAGTAGTACCGGACAAGATCCCGGTCCAAAGCCCCTTCCCTCTCCACTTTGCAACAAAACACAACAAAGCTGCTACTGGAATTCCCACTAGGTAATATGCCCCCAGATTTACGTAGGCACCAATATGCTGCCACCCAGTTCCTCTTGCCACGCCTAATCATCAACACAAAACTCTCATAAACAAACCATAAGTCTAGATCATTGTAAATTGCAGCGTTTTGTGTTACAAGTGTTAATTTCAATGCAGACGCTTGGTCTTTCTGTCGAAGCAGGGGAATAATTTGTGCAATATAATTGACGACTTCCACTTCATTGCTAAAAGACGTGGCGCCAAGCAAGTAAGACGATGACCACCATGATTGGCTCGATTAATCCGATTACTGTTGCAACAATTACAGACAGTTGAGCTGCTTCTGGATTTCCGGCTCCTAATTCATCGAAACCCTTTTGCTGCCAAGTTTACTCATCATAGATTCCATGCATTTTAGATCATAAATATTTGTAGCTAATTACTATAATAGACATGGTTTCATAGAATGAAAGATTATGGATTTTACCTTGCAGCAGCGCTGTTCCCTTACGGTACAAAGAAATGTAAAGCGGTGATTGTCATGCTTTAACGTTGCACAAGTCAAGAGATGATCAGTATATAAGAAGAAAAACAAAACCCTATAGAGTAAAAACTGAACTCAAGTTCTGAAACACTAAATTATTACAGGTTTAGATGCGTACCATATAGAAAGAACTGTAGTTTCGAGCATTGAATCCGGTAAAAGTCCTGATAGCATTATAAGCAGCTCGAATGACCACCATTCAAGACTACAAAATTAACCGATAACCGAACCAAAGAAAATCAATTCAGTTATTCAGTTAGAACCTAATTATCAACACCCCTACAAATCATATAAACCAAGAAGGTTATTACATTACAAAATCATTGCAGCAGAAGGGACCCCATAGCTAAAGATCTCTTTGACGCATGAGAGAACGTCCTTGAAGATAAAAGCACGAGACTTCTCACATGCTGAAGAGTACCTCATGTAAATAACAAGCAATATTACATTAAACCAGAGAGCTAAACCGGTTGATAAAGCCGCTCCAGTCATTCCCATGCTTGTTTTGTGCGTTAGAATCCAACAAAGAGATATATGGAGAAGTACAGCTGTAGAAGAGCTCAAGAACATGGGAAGAACCAAGCTTTGGCACTGAAGATATCGAATCAATGACTGGAGAATCGGGTGTGCAAGCAATGCAGGAATGAGCCAGATTGCATATCTGCCAGCTTCCACTGCGATTTCAGGGTTTTGACCCAGTGATACTAACAGATTGTCCAAGAATATCCAAAAAAAAGCATATCGGAATACAAATTGGGAGGGAAAGTATCGAACAGTAGGTGTAAGATCCGAGCTTTTGATATTGTTGAGCTCCATAAGCTTGCCCACATAGTCTCCAGTGCTCCGGAGATTCCGAACTATTGAATGTAACATAAGAACAAATGGATAATGTAATTAATTTTTGGATAAACTACATATATAGTCACTAAACTATAGAGTAAATTATATTTTGACCACTGTTATATTAATTTTACCAATCAAATCACTTAATTATTTTAACGGTATAAATTAAGTCACTGGCCGTTAACTTTTAAGTTAACGGGAATACTTACATGACAATTAAATCAATTTGCATAATTATATATTTAGTCCATTATATTTATACATTTAATTAATTTAGTCCTAATTTTAAAAGATCAACAAATGTAGCCGTCATTATTTACAAAACGTTGCAATTTAATCTTAATTTTAATTAGAAATAATTAAGGACTAAATTTATTGATTTATTTAATTAAGACTTAATTGATCGACAATGTAAATAATAAGGACTACATGTGTAATAATACAAATTTGCTTAACTACCACATCTCGTTTCCGTTATAGTTTGACCACTTTTAACGGTAATTGCTTAATTGAAACTATTTAAACAATTAAATGACCTTATTGGACAAATAAATAGATCAATGGTCATAGTAAATTTCCCTTAATTTTTATATAAGGAGAACCAAGACCATTGTTGCACAATAATGAAGTATCATAGTAATTGATTTAACATAGATTGGGCATATTTAACCTCAATGGAAGAAAGTTCAAATATAGAATTTTAATTTCTTTTCCAATGTAAAAATCTACAAAATTGATATATATTTACCACAATTCACTTATCACCTTTCCGGTTCTAGATGCAATGATTAGTATTGTTTTGTTTAAAAAAATTATAACATAGAAGTGTGTGTACATAGAACTCATCAAAAGTGATCTCAGTGATAAAATGAAATATTATTCTCCCGAAAAATACCGAGTTTGAGTAGCTTCTTTTGCATAACATATGTGTTGTCAATGGAAAAAAAAATATTATGAACTATACTACCTTATAATCACATCATCCTATTAAAAAAATATTTGTGTATATATATGGTTGAAATATGTCAGCGTCCCTATATTATTTTAAAATTTTAATTTTAATTCTCATAATTTTATAATATACTATTTTTTTATTCAAAAATGATTAGACTATTTACTAAATTATGTTCAATTTTACTGTTTTGTTGACCTAGAATATAGAAAATATAAAAATAACTTTTTGCATCCCTAAATTTTAAATCTTTTATTAATTGGACCCTTAAAAACTTCAATCGTAAATGAATGAAATTGTAATATCAATTAATGATAATTTTTAATTTATTTTGAAGATAAAGGGTAAATTGATTAAAACGAATATTTTACAAATTTAAAATTATTTATTTTTATAATTATCAAATCAACCGTAAAATTGAACAAAAATTAAAAGAACAAAAAGTAATATAAACACGTCGTAAAATAAAATATAAAAAATAAATTTTAAGTTTCAAAAATTAGACTCAGAATATTTAAACTTATATTCATATATCTTATTACACTATATAAAGTTTCTATCAATTCAATTATCTTGATTAAATATGTGATATTTGACTCTTCATATACTATTTATTTTATTTTATTTTTCTCTTCCCATCAATCGTAACCTTAAATATACTTTTATTACACGTGTTAAAGTTTGTGGGTCTACACAACCCTGACCGAATTAATAATATAATGTAAAGGCCCACCAATAGTGGTGAAAAGGATATGTATAAAAAATTGAATGAAAATAATGTAAATTCGTTTTAAAATTTGTATCTTTAACAAGTCTCACTTTCTCAGAAAAAAAAAAGATTTTAGAAAATATACGTGTTGAAAATTATTTTAGTATCTAGATTATTTGTTAGAGTGTACTTAGAATTTATTGGGTATATATAATAAATTTTATAAAATATAATAAATAATTAAAATTTATCATGTAGACACTATGAGTTCTATATAATTTCGTCCACCCACCCAATTAGTTCTAAATTTTAATATATTTTGTGAAACTCTTCGTGTGAAGATAAAGGATTCCATGTGTATTGTAATAAACCGTCTAGATCTCAAATTAATTATCCAACAATTGTATTTTTTAATTCTTTTTTCTCGTTTGCAATATTTCTAAAATTTATTATTTATAACGTTTTAAAATGATTTTTAAATAAAAATCTTTATGATAATTATTAACAATCAGTTCATTTAGTGGGATGAGATATTAAATATCTTAAATAAAATTAGATTTCAAATTCTTACGTTTGCGAATAAAGTAAACAGAGTAACTATCATAATTGACCACTATAAAACTCCATCTCATATAATAGACAAATAGTCATATACAAATAGTTAAATAAAAAAATATTATTTTAACTTATAAAAATATAAAATAATCATATTATATTAATTATTACCAAAGTATTAATTATGTTCTATATTAATTACTTAAATTTTTTATTTTCATAAACTAATTACAAATCTTTATCTTAAAAGATTAAACAAGATTATCAAATTGATAGACACATCCAAACTTTTTATTTTTATATTTATAATTTTAAAAAAAATTTGTATAAATAAATATTTACATTAAAATAATAAATTCAATTTGAATGCGATAAAGTTCAATAACAAATTGATGTGTGTTTTTCTTTTCTTTTTCTTTTCTTTTTGGATAAATTCTAATACCTAGAGAAGAGTAAAAAGAAGACTCTTAAGAGAAGAAATGTGTGCTCCTAATAAATTTAAAATTTATAACTTAAAAAATATAAAAAATTAAATTAAATAAATTTACCAATCGACCAAATATATTTAGTAATGTTTTTGTTTTATGTTATAATGTTATTAGAATTTAAACTTTAATTTTGTCAAAAATGGTTTCCATAGTTAGACGATACGTCTTCCGCACGTTTTTCCGTTTAAAATTTAGAGAAAATAACTTGAGTGACCGAAAATGCCTTATAATATATTATTTTAACCAACTTTTTTTGAGTTTGCAAAAATAACCAACGAATTTGCAACTCAATTTCGAATTCGTAACACAAAAACCAAATTCGCAACACAGTTTTCGTATTAGCAACAAGAACTTACATTTCGCAACATGAATTTGCCAAATTCGTAACTCAAATTCGGATTTCACAACTCGAATTCGCCAATTTCGCAACTCAATTTTCGAATTCGAGTTGCGAAATGTAAATTCTTGTTTAGACCGGTAGGCAGAGGTAACGAACTTACGCGAGAATCCATTTGTCGTTGAGCAGAGGCAACGCCTCGGTGGGTGCTGAAGTGGGGTTCTTCGCCTCGAGCTGAGTTATAAGCTCAACAATCTCAACCCTGGTCTCACTACTAGCTTTCAATCCACGATCAGTCCCATAAAACGAATCCACCAAAGCTTTCTTCAAGCTCTGGATTTCCACCACTTGGTCAGGCTTCTTCTCTTCTTCTGCCATAGCCACTCCAGGACTCTCTATCACAACCGGCTCCTCCTTGTCTGGGCCCCATTCATCGTCGGCGTCCGAAGCACAGACCTGGAAAACATGTCTTTCCTGGAGTGATCTCTGGGTCAAAATTGAGTTGCGAAATTAGCGAATTCGAGTTGCGAAATGTAAATTCTTGTTTAGATCGATGGGCAGAGGCAACGAACTTACGCGAGAATCCATTTGCCGTTGAGTAGAGGCAACGCCTCGGTGGGTGCTGGAGTAGGGTTCTTCGCCTCGAGCTGAGTTATAAGCTCAACAATCTCAGCCCTGGTCTCACTACTAGCTTTCAATCCACGATCAGTCCCATAAAACGAATCCCCCAAAGCTTTCTTCAAGCTCTGGATTTCCACCTCTGGGTCAGGCTTCTTCTGCCACGACCACTCCAGGACTTTCTATCACAACCGGCTCCTCCTTGTCTGGGCCTCATTCGTCGTCGGCGTCCGAAGCACGGACCTGGAAAACAGGTCTTGCCTGGAGTGATCTCTGGGTCAAAATTGAGTTGCGAAATTGGCGAATTCGAGTTGCGAATTTGAAAACTGAATTGCGAATTTGACAAATTCGTGTTGCGAAACGTAAATTCTTGTTGCGAATTCGAAAACTATGTTGCGAATTTGGCTTTCATGTTGCGTATTCGAAATTGAGTTGCGAATTCGTTGGTTATTTTTGCAACCCCAATTTTTTTTTATTAAAATCATATATTATAAGGCATTTTCGGCCACTCAAGTTATTTTCTCTAAAATTTAACGAGGAAGAAAATCAGCTCGTCTCCTTCCTATATGCCGTAAATAAAATATATAAATAAATAAAACAAATATTTTATTGAAATTTGTCAATAAATAAATTAATAAATAATCTCAGATTCACCTTTGTACAACTTAATTTTAATAATTTGAAATCGTCTATCAAAAACAAAGTTTCAATAATCAAAATTTGTTTTATTAAAAATAAAGTTTCAATACCATACTATAAAAAAATCTAAAAAATCCACATATAAAGATTCATTTTATTCACATATAAAAATCATGTGAGATACTCTTTCTTAATATTTTGAATATAATATAAAGAAATTTACATTGGATTCAACAATTATTCTAAGTTTGGTTATCATAACTTTTTAAGACATCTTCAATTAAGCTGTGAATATCCAAAGTAATAATACGGTTGATTATGCTGCTTTTAAAGGTATCTTTAATTAAGCTAGAGGATTTAGGGATTTTGAAGTTTCGGATTTAAATTTTATTGCGATTAATCAGAGATTTGTTTCGATGAATTAATTATTCAGAGTGAATTTGCAGGTTAAAACACAAGAAACTATGGAAATTAAAGGATTCGAGAGGGAGAGAAGACGTACAATAAAGCTGAAGCCGGTGACGTTGGCGAAGGAGACACCCAAGGCACAACCAGAAAGAGGTAGCTCCCAGAGGTGGCCGACCATTATCACTGATATGACCTGCAAAAGGTACTGCGACACCGATACCGCCACCATCGGCACCGCCATGTAGCTCACCGCTTTTAACTCCTCTGTGAATCCGCTCCATGTTATCTTCCTTTTTTCTTCCTCTAAATTTATTCTACATAGCAATGGCTCTTCCATTTTATTCCCCTCTCCTCTCAACAATACTCTCTAGGATCCCATCTAAGCTCCATTTATTGAGCTTTGAACGAAGTTGGCTCAATCTATTCTATTGATGTTGATAATCACCGCGGGGATCTGCGCTTTAAATATTTGATGGATTATTTTTTTTAAAAAATAATTTTGTTGGTCAAAATCTGAAGGTGCTACAATAAGTTTTGAAAGTGTATTTATCATAAATAGATTTTGAATTTATCTAATAACATGGGTGAATTCCCAATTTAGTCATCCAATTAGTTTTTGCATTTTGATCACTAATGTTATATTTTCATTCTATTTTAGTCATTAATCATTAAGTTTTAACATAAATAATGACATGACTTGGTATAATAATAATTTTAGCCCTTAAAATTTATAAGTTCAATAAGTTTGTTTATAATTCAAAATAATTTAATAAATTTAACTTTTATATTTAAAAAAATTTATCAATTTAATCTTTACTTAACTAAAACTCTAATCTTGTTGCAGCCACCACCTTCAAGTCGTCCTTCTATGTTGTCTTTGACACCTTCTTCGACTAACGAGCCCGACCATCGTAAATCTATTTCAAGGATAAGTTTTAATATGGAATTAGCTGGTAACGAAGCCATCCAGTGATAATCATTATAATGTCAAAACTTTGAATAGTTTTCTTTAAGTCGCAATTTTAAGGAGAAAATACTATATTCGGTATGTGTACCTTAATAAAATATAGGGTAAACTACACTTTAGTACCTAAACTATTAATTTTATTTCATTGTAGTACCTAAACTTTCAATTATTTCAAAATCATATCTAATGTTTATTGTTTTTTTCATTTTAATACCTCCATCGTTAGATTAACGGGACTACGGCACGTGGTACTTTTTATGAATAAATTATATCATTCGTCACTTAACTATCTTCTTACTCCTATTTTGGTCACTAAAGTTTAAAAATTTCCTATTTAACTACTCAACTTTCAAATTGCTCATATTTTAATCACTATAAATTATTTTATTAATAATTTTTGTGACATGAATTTTTATTATTTTTTAATATATAATTAAAATAAAAAAATAAATTTGAAAGTTAGAGTAATTAAATTAGGAGTAATTTGAAATTTAAGTAATTAAATTTAAAAAATTAAACTTCAATTATTAAAATAGGAGTGAGAAGATAGTTGAGTAATAAATGATGTAATTTATCCATAAAAAAGTGTCATGTTGTAATAGTTCTACTAAGTTTTTAACGGTGAGGTATCAAAAGTAAACATTAGGTATGATTTTAAAACAAATGAAAATTTAGGTATTAAAACGAAACAAAACTGATAGTTTATATATTAAATGTGTAGTTTACTCTAAAATATATAAAGTGATACTTGTAGTTTTAAATGTTTATTGAACCCATCAAATGACCTTGATTAAAGAATGTTATTTTCTTAGAGGTTTTGAGTTCGAATATTTGATAGGGATGTTTAAATAGTCAGTTCGAACATCGAACCAACCAAATACCCATTAATTGAATTAGCCAATTTTTCCCTTAATCATTAACTAATTTTTTTTATAATTTTTTGTTTAGTTAGATTAATTTGAGTTTAATAGAGATATTTTTTTATTTTAGTTAAAATTTAATTAGGTCTTAACAATTTAATGGGTCTAGTGTGATTAACAAATAGTCGGATCTTAATTCTTAATGGGTTTGAGCTTAAAATATGTATTAAATATATTTAATATTTTTAGTTTATTCAATTAATTTGGTTAATTAACCGATTTCAAACCGAATTAACCGTATACATAATGTTAAAAAAAGTTAGTTGTTCCCCGATCGAACTAATCGGTGGCCGACCGTTTTGACCGAATTAATTATGGAGGTCGGTTAAGTCGGTTAATTTCGAAAAATAAACACTCCTAGCAGCTGCATCTGCAGGGTGTGTGCACGTTGTTAATCTTAAATAAAGATTGTGAATAAGTATTATCTTGTAATCACTCTAAATAATTCAAAATAAATAAATTTATTGTGATACTTATATTTCGACAAAAATGTTAATTATAATTTTTGTACTTTCAAAAATATCCAATGTGATATAATGTAATTATCTTTTCTCGTAGATAATAAATGTGATTTACATTTACAAATATGTGTTTTCCATAGGAACTGGTCATTTTCTCCATCCCCAGTAGTAATCTATCCTACGGTGCCATATTTATATTTACTGCTATTTTCATAACTGTACACATTATAGCAGTAAAATTTCATTCTGATAAACAATGAACTTCCCTTTCTTCATCCGATTAAGATTTTGATGTCGAACAACCATCATCGGATAGGTATCCTGCTAGTTTTCTCGTGCCGCAAAGATAAATCGAGTACTGAATATTCTCTTCTTCCTTCCATGTGACGCAGAATCAACTAGATCAATGTACACTAATAATTCGTGGCAGTGCCTGCAGCTGCGGTTGCGGCAAATCATTTTCTTCATCTGATGCAGCCAGGGAAAACCGAGGATCCTATAAAATAGTGAAAGTATGCCGGCGATCAGTTGCCCATTTTGCAGGTAGAAAAGCAAGCAGAAGCTGATGAAAATGCACCTATCTAGCAATTAAGTTAGGCGATTGAGTACAGTTATTAAGTTCGATGAAAGTGAATGTATTCGAACCTGGTGCTGTTGACGACGTCGTCGGATAGCGGCTGTGAATGCCTTAACCATGATACATATAGGCAATAGAATCGCAATGGTTTTTAACAATAGTAACTGCAATATAAAGCCAAAAACAAGTTGCACTCATTGGCACCATTCTGCTCATTCTACAAATAGACGTTCTAGTTTAATGTGTTCTTACAGTGATCGATGTCAACGAATAGTCTCCGGTTCCACTGGTCATGATCGGAAGAGTGTGCCGCAGAACTAGAAGAACCATAAACTGCAAATAAGATTGTGAATGAATATAATGGTTGTTGAAATGGTGAAACATTTTCACTAGCTAGAAAAGCAAGGCAACAAGGAAATGAAAGGACAGGGCACAACACAAAATCAAACATTGTCCAGATCAACTGGCATTCAACCATCTTTAGAGAAATTTTCAGTAAGTTTTATATTTTTAATCAATTTCATCGAATAAACCAAACATGTACGAGAGATACGAATCTTCAATTAGAACTATATGTAGAGGAAGAGAGACGTACAATTATAGCAACGACACGACAGCATATCACGCTTTGAGAACTGGGGGCCAAGTAAATATCAAAATCTGACTCCAGAAAATCATGATCGGTTGTGACTATAAAATGCGGACCTCGCAAGTCTCTCCTGGAAATCTCCCAATTCCCTCTGAGATGATATCAAAATTCTTTGTAGATGAGTGAAGGAAACAACTTCATTATACAAGAAAAAGGATAGAATATAGCTAGAGAGCTCGAGATATACCCGAAGTTCAAAGGATCACCTCCATAATGATATAAAGGAGGCGGTGCCATATAACCAGGCCTATATTGCTGCATTTGTGTAAATATTCCAACAAAAGAGAATCAATTGGTTTCATTCAAATTCATGGAAAGATAAGGGTGCAGATGATAAACCGACAATTAAACAATGGTCGGACCTGTTGGCAAATCTCACAGTTGATGTCACCCTTTACATTGCACCACCTCTGGACACATTTCCGGTGAGCATACTGCAACAATAAAGACACAGTAATCATGTAAATTGCTGGTTAAATGTGTCCTAGTTTTCTTGATATGCATGTCTGATGGCTTTCGATCGAGGCATTTGGTTCTCTTCTCTAGGAGAAGGCTAAATTCTAGCTTACATTCAAGGTAACATGAAGAATGCAATGCCAACTTATTCAATTGAATTAGAAATAAGTGATCAGACATTGCTCCTATGGTTTAAGAGTAATGACATTAAGGTTCCAACTAAAAAGAACCAGTTGATGTACAACTGACCTTCAAGCTGCCGCAACAAGAACACGGTGTCTCCATGTTCAAATATTCGTCCTCGTCGTGGCAAATCCGACACTCGACCAATTTACTCGGAGGCGATCCGACATTCCCTTCCATCCTATGAGCTGAATGTTCAAATATCAGCTTTGGAAGCTTCAAGGTCGGATTAAGTTAGCAGATGGTCCACAAGCTTAAAATTAATAACTGAAGATATCTGCAATGGAACCCAAACCCCTTTACATTTCATGAACAAAAGAATTATGAAAAATGAAGATCCTATACAATTAAAAAAAACATATAAAAACAAAATTTGAAGGCTTAAAACGCTTCCATTTTAAATCATTTCACCAGATATATTACAATAAAATGCAACATTCTATAGAAGATAGAAAACAAAAACAGGGCCTGAAAAGCTACAAGAAATGAGAAGAAAATGGAGAAGAACAAAAAACCCAGAAACCAAAAGGCAAAGAATTTGACTAAAAAAGGGGAGAGAAAGAGACCCGTGTTCCAAAAAGGTATCAACTTGATATTTGAAATAGAAACAAAAACATCATGGCTAACGTGGATAGATTTTATTAATTCAATCCGAAAGGGAAAAAGGAGGAGATGCTTACAAGTTACAGGTGAGAAGGAATGGGGTTTTCGATTAAAGAAGAAAGCAACAATCTTTTTTATTAATCATAATAATATTATTCTGTTTGATTTCGTTTTTGTTTTGTTTTACTTCCTGGGTTGTTGTTTCTTGAAATGAAGCAAGAGATTGAGTCGGTTTGCTTCAACAGAGAAACAAAGCAATAGGGGAACAAGATTCCAACGGCAAAAATGGCAAGACGGTAGCTTGTTAGAGGTTCTAATAATGGCTTATTTTTACACGGTTTTTTTATTAACCAAATCCAGCAGCGATGAGCCTACTCCTGCGAACCTGGTGATGTTGTCCAGAAGGGGAAAAAAAGGATTATGTCATGGACGATGAAGTAAGATAGATTCGGTGGACACTTGATATGGTCAGAGCCGCGTATATGGATTAGATATATACAGGGTTGAAATATTAATTTTTTTTAAAAAAAATACAATAATTTATTAGATATTTAAACTTATAACTCAGAAAATTATGTCTAATTTATCTAATAATTAAATTTATAATAACATAAATTATTATTAGACTAAAAATTGAAAGTATTGAATTATCATTTTTTTTATAAGTACTGGTTTCTAATCTATTGGTTGACTAATTCGGATCAAGTAATGCAGAAGCGAGGGCGACTGTCCCAAAACAGTTTGTTCTATTTGCAATGGCCAATATTCAAATCTATGACCTTGTTTAAAGGATTTAGTGTCTCATCCAGCTAAACCAATCGATTGTTGGTATTGAATTATCATTTTTTAGTTCATACGTCAAATATCTAATAAATTTTTATATTTTTTAATTTAAATACTTAATTTTATATTAACTAAAATATTATTAGATCAAAATCTATCAAATATAAATAATTTAACAAAGACCGGACCTTTGGGCCTTAATGGAGCTTTGTCCCTAGTCAGAGCTTAGAAGTGGGTTCGGATGTCGGAGTGGCATCAACTCGGGTTGGGTAGATATAATTTACTCCCTTGATATATAAATTTTATATATATAGTAATATTAAATATAACAATATATGATTAATAAAATAATACAATTTGACATCATGATAAAATTAGTCCCAAACATTTGTTTAGTTGTTCATTTTGACTCTTATTTTTATCATTGACTTTTATTATTATTTTTTAAAAGTTTTAAAGTTTAAATATTTTATTTTCTAGTCAAAATAATTCATGTTGAATGAAAATTATTAGTTGATTAACGCTCATCAAATTTTGTTGATGTAAAAACTTTATATATTTAATTATTAATATTTACATGTCATATTATTAAAATAATGATGTCATACATATTATGTCATTTAAAATGATGATATGACATGTGTCATGTTATTTGGAATGAGAATGTAAAATGTGTCGCGTTATCAATTAAGCATGCATGCGTGAGAATGCTTGTTATTTATTTTTTATTTTTATTTTAATTATTTGTAAAAGTGGAGGCTAAAGCCAATACATTATAAGTTTAATAACCGAACATAAGGAGGTCCGAAAGAATCCCTGTGCAGGAGATCAAGCAAGCCGAGACGAGGGGAGGAAGCTTCATAGATTGCCATCATCGGGGAGCTCTCAAGTTTCGAGAGGGAGTCAGCAGCCATGTCGACCTCGCGTGGGAATACATGAATTGGATACTTGTGTCATCTTCACAAAGGATAGCTATGGAGCGCACCAGCTGGAATGGGCTGTGCATAGACGGAGGAGTCAGGAGCTTAATCGCTTCAACATTATCAGACTGAACTAGGATGCGACTGAAATTTCGAAGCTTTGCGATCTTTAATCCTTCCAAAATACCCCATAGTTCCGCCTGCAAGACCGTAGTGATTCCAATATTTTTGGCAAAAGAAAGAATATGAGAACCTGAATGATCGCGAAACACTCCACCGATTGATCCGACACCAGTGATCGTGGAGACGGTAGCATCGGAGTTAAGACAAATCCAATCGTCGGGGGACGGAGACCATTGGACATTTTCAACAATGGACGAGTATGGAAGAAAGTGTTGGGTAGGCGCGATTTTGTAGAGTCTTGCCCACTGCAAACTGGTGTGAATGAGGGTGGACATGTCTAAACTTTTTCCAGTGAATATGAAAGAGTTTAGACGCTTCCACATTTGCCAAATGAGAGCTGGAAAAAGCTGCTGCCAGGGACCATCAGTCAAACAGCAAAGACGAGTACATGAGACACAATATAAGATCCAATCCTGCAAAGAAAAAGAGAAAAAGTCGGCATGAATGAAACTCCCTGGTAAGGAGCTCCATAATCTGTGCACATCGTGAAAATCCCTCAAAATATGGAGAGTTTCGTTCGGTTCTCCACAAAGAGGGCACGTAGAGCTAGCAGCAAGAGATCTTTTGAAGCAGTTATGGTTTGTCAAAAGTTTGTCCTGAAGAGCCAACCAGAGAAAACCACGTATACGTTCTGGAATCGGATGTTTCCAAACCAGATTCCAGGACTGATTAACAGACTGCCAATGGACAGATGAGAATAAGCATCTTTAACCGAGAACTCTCTTTTCTTGTTTCCATTCCAGAAAACTCTGTCAGGTCCGAGAGAAGCTTGTGGAGGACAAATGGCTTGAATGTAAGGTAAAACAGAATGATCAAGTTGGTTGCCAAGGATATGCCAATTCCAACTACCATTCTCATGAACGAAATGATGAAAAAGGGCCCCATTGTTAATGGGGATGTGCGGGGAGGGCCATTGCTGAAGGGGACCCAATTCGGAGATCCAGTTGTCAACCCAAAAATTTATAGTTTTGTCATCGCCGACGGGCCATGCAACATTTGAAAGATAAACTTGCCAAATCGAAGCCAGCGACCTCCAGAAGGGAGAGCTATTAGAGCGGGATTGAACCAAGGCATGGTAGATTTTGCGTAAGAAAGCAACGTTTTGATCTTTAGCATGTCTTATTCCCAAACCGCCACAAATGCGGGGTTGACAGACAGTGTTCCAATTAACCAAAGAGATTGACGTCGAGCTGCTACTCCCACCCCAAATAAAACGTCGAACAATTCTTTCAATCTCATCACAAATTGAAAGGGGAAGCATACAAGACTGCATTGTACAAGTTGGAATACTGAGTAAAACCGACTTCGCAAGGGTTAAGCGGCCAGTAAAAGAAAGAGTCCGAGCAGCATAGCCAGTGAGCCTTTTATTGATTTTATCAATGATATAATGGAAACGATCGGCCGTTGCACCAGAGTGACGAACTGGAGTACCCAGATAATTACCAAGATCTGTGACAACTTGGAAACCCAGATGATTACTTATTGCTTGTTGCAACATTATGTCAGTCAACGCGTCCGGAGTGGTTGCCAAAAGTCTTTAAAATTTTATCAATGTTGACAGCTTGATCAAGATCCGCTTTGGCATGGAGAATTAAATCGTCGGTGAAAAAAATATAGGAGAGAGGCGTACCATTGCGAGAGAGCTTAAATGCCTTGAACTCCTGGATCGGAATGGAAGGGAATTGACCCCGAATAGGGAAAGGATGTGTAGCAGTATCGTTACTAGCAAAAAGTTGCTTGAAATAATCAACACCCCAATCACGTAACTTGGCATCATCTTGGCATCACTCACCCGAGACGTCCTTAAGCATGATAACAGAAGATCGACGACGATTTCCCATGGCCAAAGCATGAAAAAATTTGGTGTTGCGGTCACCAAAAGAAATCCAATCAGACCTGACCTTTTGTTTCCAGACAAGCTACTATTGATCAAGGAGAGACTCAAGGTCTTGTTGAAGGCGACACTCTAGTTTGACCATATGCCAAAAACAACATTGCTCTATGATTTTATATAATAGACAAGCGAGCAAACATCATCTCCATTCATTCTATTTCACTTATCTTTACCTTCTTTTCTCATTTTCTAAATTATATATAACCAATCATTGTATTCATATTTCACGAATAGTTGATAAATCAAAATATATTTAATTAACTCCACTATAAAGTCAACAACAGTTTACTAAAAACGTTTATGAAATTAAAAATCAACTCAAGGTAAATAAAAAATAATTTGACAAAGATATAAATATTAAGTGCACTAAATTTGACGTTGTGCCTTAGGTTAATTACGAAACCTTCAGCCGAACCATTGTTTCCCTTGCTCTTAGTCATAAAATAAATACTTATTAATGTTTTTAAGTACCTGATCAAGATTAATTGATTAATAAATCTATTATTAAAAAATTAATAATTATAGACAAACTAAATTAACCTGAGATCTCACTCAATTATGAAAAAAATCTTGAAAAAAAATCAATATGCTCTTTTATTAGTATAAAACAATTTGTAAGTATAATAACTATATTAATAAATAATAATTGAAGGGAAGAGGCATGGTATGTGATGCCAGGATTAGACAAGGCAAAATCAGGATCACCACAATTAAATTAAATTTTTAAGATTCTTGAATATTCAAATTCAAATGTTTAATAAATTAAAAAGAATTCAAAGGCTTAATCATCTTCTTGCCTCATTAACTCATCTCATTATTATTAGTATTATTATTTAAAAAAACAATT